AGAAGGGATTAAGTATTCAGGGAGTGCACTTAATCCTTCTTCAAAACTTCTCTCGAACTTCTGCTTCTCCATCTGTGAAATGGCTGTAGCAATCCATGTGCAACTTAATTAATATTGCAAATGTCCAGGGTGTTTGCTGGGGTCTCTTGGATGAGCAAAATGTTTCTGTTGATAAATGGTGGTGGTGGTAGGAGAAAAGCTTGCACCATCCTACCAGTTTGAATCTGTGCTCAATGAAGAGAGCATCTCATTGCTGTGAGAGTCAGCAAATATAGAGACACTACAGGCACTACAGGTCAAGTGGCAAACAAGCCTCTAGAGCAGTGATTTCAATCTTCCTAATGCTGTGACCCTTTAATACAGTTCCTCATGCTGTGATGACCCATAACCATAACATTATTTCTTTGTTACTTTATAACTGTAATTTTGCTGCTGTTCTGAAACATAATGCAAATATTTTTAGAGACAGAGAGTTGCCAAAGGGGTCATGACAAGTTGGGAACGACTGTCTATACAGAAGTAGCCTTTTCAGTGTAAATGGACACCTAGCACCTAAGGGCAGGGCAGTTAATGTGGCAAGTCAGCAAATAATCATATCACCATGATTCACAAGTATTGTCTTGTGTTACTATTTGTTGTATGACTTTTCCTAGGGAGATGCAACTATGCATTCATCCCAAACAGGGAACTGAAAATAGTCCCCCCCCCCAAAAAAAAAACAGATTGCATCATAGCCCAGTTTGAAAAACCCATGCATTTGTTGGAATTACTTATGGAGCATGAGTGAGGAATTAATTGTAAGAGTGAAGATGACTCATCACAGTTTTTTCTTTGCATCCCCAGAAACAGCACAGGTGACAAATCTCCAAAGCTGCATCCTTGGAGTGCCCTGCATGACTGGTAGGCAGCTGGATAGATCAGGAAATCTCAGCAGCATTATTGTTTATATAACCTTGAAGAGAACTTTATGAATCTTATAAGTTTCAGGAACTTCCTGAGACTTAAGAGTTTTTACTTCTTCAGTCTAAGACTTCTTCCAGGATGAAAAACAGTGTCTCACTTCTTACGTCTTTAAGACAGTATGATTTTGAGAGTCCAGTTTACAGGCTCCTCAGCTCCTTCACTTTTTCCACTCCCTCTACAGCAATGTCTCCTGAGCCATGGGGACTCAGGATTTTGAAAAGCTATGAAGGCTTCCCCACTCCGAACTGACTCAGAATTTATTCACACCAGTCTTTATACCATCTTCACCTCTCACACACAATCTTTTCCACTGGAAATATTCTCTGGATTAATAACAAGATGAGGTGATATTGAATGTATTTTAATATGTAGGTGTCTATAATTCTATAGTTATCATAGTGATTTTATAGGCTAAACTTCCATAGACCTCATGAAATAATCAATAGAAGCATAACTTGTGAAAGTCGAGAGCTCTTCCTGGAGCCCCCAGGTAATAAGCTGCAGAACCAGAATGAAACATTTATACACATTTGTTTATCCTCCTACAGATGCTCAGATTTCTTTAGGTCAGGGATTCTCAACCTTCCTAATGCTGTGAGGCTTTAATACAGTTCCTTGTGTTATGGTAACCCCAAACCATAACATTATTCCATTGCTACATCATAACTGTAATTTTGCTACTGTTATAAAATATAATGTAAATATCTAATATACAGTACATCTATCTGATCTGCAACCCACAGGTGTAGAACCACTGCTTCAGGTGTTATGAACTGCAGCAGATCTGTTTCTTTAGAGCTAATGGGTTTCTTGTGGGAGCCTGTAGAGAGACCTGCTTCAACCTGCTCCTACCTTTAGAAGGGTTCTTAGGTGGAGGAGAGAGGGATAAGAAAATACCAGAGAAAAAAAAAGACCTAGATGAAGAGAAGAACACACAGGATAGCCTTGGGAGGGTCACTTCATTTATTCAAAAGAGCTTTTTAGAACAATGCCAAGGGGAAGGGCAAAAAAACTCCCCATTGTAAAATTGAATCACAATGTACAGCCAAGTGCAGACCCTTCCAAACCCCTGGTAAACATTCCTGTGGCCAAATCATCTCCTATGCAGCCCTGCTGGGTAAAGCAAGCTCAGATTCTCTGACCCTGAGTCAGTTCTCAGTAGGAAGCCTCTGTGGGATTCCCACAGTTTCTCTGCCATTTCATCTCATCAATCAGCCCTCTAGGCTATCGAGTAACTTCAGGAAGGAGAATGTGGATCATTACAGCTGGGACAGGTAGGAATGGAGGGGAGACCATGAAGTTATTGGAGAAAGGAAAGTTCTACAATGTAGAGCTTGACTGAGCAACTCAGGAATTCAAAAAGTTTTAGTGGCCAATGATACTCCAGTGTGAGAACATGAAATGAAGTGAGAAGTGGAAAATGTAAAAAACAATAGCAAAATTGTGTGTGTGTGTGTGTGTGTGTGTGTGTGTTAAACATTTAGTTTTAAAATATGTACTTCACTGTGCATAAATCTGCAAAGAAATAAAGTCTATGGTTTGTATGTGTTTGATCCACTCAAGCACTCAGTCAGCCCTGGTGCTTACTGGCCATACAGTCTGCTGATAGTGTGCCAGATAGATTCACAATTATAATTCATAATTCTTGTGTTAGCATTCCCTGGGAAGATGTGAACAAATTTACTCCAGATAGTACATAGAAGACAGAGCAAAGTAAAGATCCCACAAAAGCCCAATTTGACAAACAAATAAACAGACTATGGTTACTTACAGAACATTGGTGAGGGATTAATTAAAGGAGCCTCTTCACCCTCATGTGGATGACAACCTCATGGAAACTACACAGAGTCCCCTTTCCTACCCTTCCACTCCTTATATACTCGAGTCTCACAAGGTCACTGCCAGCTGGGGAGGGCAGAAAGGAATAATGGCTTCACTTTCAGGGGAGGGTCCTGTGCCCTCCCCTCCTTCCTGTCATTAGGCAGTGTCAGTAGCCCCATTCACATTATCATCGGCCTAGCTACATCTACACTGCAGCATTTGCCATGACTATGAGGCTGAGCTAATCTCTACTCTGAGATCATAATGGGGTGAATATGTTGTGTGCAGAGGAAACAGGCCATACTAATCAACAAAGTGGCCTGTGTTTCAGAAAGTAGATATGCTTATTCTGAGTTGACATTAGACAATGTGTGTAACTATTGAGAGATTTCATGTTATCACATACATTTACTTAGGTTTATGTCCCAACTAAAGAACTATCTCAAATAAGAATAAATGCCAAAACATAATAATAGTGACTGAATGTTCTTGCATAAAACCCTAACACAGTACATTATCAGCCCAGAACGAGGCATATATACCACAATACTACTAAGTTCAAATTTGCAGTCTCCATACACTGGCTATTCTTGACTAGATCCCAAAGATCATTTGGAATTCTCAGCACAGGACTCTGTAAGACTGAATTTTCAACCAGAGTTGTCATAATAAAGGGTATCTCTTTTTCAACTCCAGTTTGGAGCTTAGGATGAAGAAATCAAATGGCCCTAAATGTCAGACTCAAATTAACAAGAAGGGTAAATCATGAGAAGTTACAGTCCAAGCACTGGTCCAAAAGCCTGGTGTCGGTGTCTGTGCCACTGCCATCCTGTCTCCTTAAACACAGGCTGGCACATCACTGTTAGAACATGAGCCTGCACCTTTATCCCGGATCACATGACCTGATGCAGGCCACAGCTCCCTGCTGCTCTTGCTGGGGCAGAGAATTTAGGAAGCAGTCTGTCTGCTACCCCTAAAGGTTATAAAATGTTTGACCTTCCATTTGTTCCAAGGATGGGTCCACAACTCCTCAGAGAGATTCCTTCATGAGAGCTCCAAATCCTGCTTTCTGAGGAGGCTCCTCTGGCCTTTGACAGCATCCTATGCATAGCAGCATATATTGCTCTCTCTCACCATATCCTTCTAATTCTTGTGTTAATTAAGCACCTCTCAGGCTCTTAAAGCAAGCCCCTCATTTCCTCTAAGGCCCCAATCATATCTAGACTCCATGTATTGTATTATTTCTGTTGAATGCTATCCCTTTTGTCTGTAGACCCAATCATGGCCTTGAGACTCTCTTACTTCATACATCCCATTGGAGGGAGTTATGTGTCAGCTCCCTTCCAGGACCTGTTGCTGGTCATCTCTTCTTTTCTTTGATGATCACTGATGGGAGTTTCTACTTCAGTGTGGTGTGTGTCCACTCCCTACAAATGAATGATTCCTTGTATTCTACTTAGGTTGGTTCTACTCCATGTGCCTCCCTGTAAGAGACATCTTCAAGATTTCAGGAACATTCCTGTGCACTGAGCAGCACCAAAGATGTAGAGCAAGAATAACATGAGGAAATACATTGATATTTCTTTCTATCTTCTCTCTGCTCCCAGAATCGGATGTTGCTGACTTTGATGGCAGGAGCTCGCTTTTGTACAGGTTCAATCAGAAGATGATGAGCACCCTCAAAGACGTGATTTCCCTGAAGTTCAAGAGCATGCAAGGAGATGGGGTTCTGTTCCATGGAGAAGGACAACGTGGAGACCATATTACCCTGGAGCTCCAGAAGGGCAGGCTAGCCCTGTACCTGAACCTGGGTAGGGACAGACTTGTGCATATGTACTCATGGCTGTTGAGGCCAGAGGTGAAGCTTAGTTGTCTTCCTCTATCACCCTCCACCCTTGTTTTTTTGTAGCAGTCTCTCACTGAACTTGTAGCTCACTGATTTTGGTGTGTGTTTGTGTATGTGTGTGTTGTATGCACATGAATGTACAGGTGTGCATATATATGAACACATATGTGAAGGAGAGAGCAAGACACTAGATATCCCCCGTTTCTCTCTGACTTATTGCCTTGAGACACGATCTCTTACCAACACAAAAGCTTGTGTTTGGAGTTAGGCTGGGTGGCCAGCAAGCTCTTTAAGATCCACATATTTCAATCATTGGGCTAAGTACTCACAGTCATAGACACATTTTACTTTGTTGTTATTATCATTATTATTAATAATATCATTTTAGGATATGGGTGCTAGGGATTCAAATTCAGGTCTGCAGGTGTTCATATTCACTGATTTTTGCACAAGGTCACTATACCATGCATGGGTGCATCTTTGAGCAAATGGAATCACTGGAGCACTAAGTGATCTATTTCCTTTGTCTTTACGGGATTAGAACAGTACTCATTTTCAAATATTTCATCTTCATGCAGGTAGAACAGCACTTATTTTCATTATTTTTTGCCAGAGGTATCATTCTGTGATAAAAGACAATATTTCTATGTAAGGGAAGCTACTGTGTAAGTTTTAAATATCTGTTAATGTGTATACTTAACCTGAATTTTTCTAGAACTCAAACTTTTAAGTAACTTACAAAATTTTAAACATGTACCTATTATAACGAGCTTCTCATATTTGAGCTGATTAGGCACATTAAAAAAAAAAACTACCAGAGAAACAGGTAATCATTTTGTTCTTCTTAGTGGGAGGTAAAATGTATGAATGGAAAAACTAAGTTGCTAGGCTTTCCTTTGTTAAGACGGCCTGGCCTGGAAGAGTGAGCCTGGGACCCGGATGGCAGGTGATTTAGTGAAGAGTACCTTTCTCCCTCCCTGCAGAAGGATGCTGCTTACCTCTGTGGGTGAGCTACTCCCTGGGCTTTCTGCACTCCCAGTAGGTCTACATTCATGGTGCCCAACTTCTCACCCCAGAACAGAAAGGAGGGAATCTTTTATGCCTTCTTACAGAAGAAAGGAATGAGTAGGCAAGACACAGGAAATAGGTGCTGAGTTCCTCAGAGCATGGAAGAAAACCAAAGGAGCCCTCCTCTAGACAAACCAAACAGAAAAGATAGATGCTTGAGGGAGAAGAAAGTGACTTTAAATTAATGACATCCATTTATTTGTATGTAGTTATATAGTGGTGTGTCATGGCACAGTGTAAAGGTCAGAGAACAACTAGAAGGAGTTGGGTCTCCCTGTTTTCCAAATGGATCTCTGGGATCCAACTCAATTCATCAGGTTGAATGGCATATGCCTTTAACCTGCTGAGCCATCCTTCTGGGCCCCAACCAGGCTGCTTTGTCAGAGAATTCCTTTCTGTTTCCCACTTAATATTTATTCATATAAGGGAGAGGAAGTACATTGTTATTAATATTTACTATTGAGTAGGCAAGAAGGATAAATATAAATATAAATACTGGGAACAAGCTCAAGGTACACAGGTGACATCAGAGCAAGCTATATTTAGTCACCAGGAAAAGAACATGAGACTCCCCATTGGGCAGCCTCACTCCCAACAGCAAACAATGTAGGTCTTTATTCTGGTCCTTCTTCAGTGACAACTCCAAGCATCCTCTTGGCCTTCATGGTGAATATAAGGAAAAAAAAGTAGGAAGAACCGATAGATTTTCAAGATTATTTCATATAATTGATGCCTAACACAGAAGATGAAATAATAACTATGGGCTGGAGAGATCGCTCTGTTGCTAACTTTCTTGTAATGCAAGTATAAGAACCTGAATCCAGTCTCCAGAACCCACATGAAAATACAGAATTGGTAGTGCATGCTTGCATTTCTAGTACTTGGGAAGCAGAGACACATATGTCCCCTGGGATCACTAGACATCTGCATAGCCTGCTTGGTGAGTTCTAAGCCAGTGGGAGACCTTGCTTCAAACAAATAGACTAAGACTCCAAAACAATAAGGTGGAGAGTAATTGAAGAACAACACTAGAGATTGACCTCTGGCATGTGCGCGCACGCACACACAAATAAATAAATAAATAAATAAATAAATAAATAAATAAATAAATAAATAAATAAATAAATAAATAAATAAATAAATAATAAATAAATAATAAATAAATAAATAATAAAAATAAAGAAAAGGGGTAAATTGGAGACATACATAGCACGGCTGTTGTTCAAGCAGCAGTTTGTCTTAACTAGTTATCAGTGCTCTGCCTTCAAAGGCAGAATTGGTTCTGTGGTGAAATTTCACTAGGGAGTTGCCATTGTCCTACTTTCCAAGGGTAGAGCATAGACTTTTTTTTTTAGAATTCCTAACTAGGCATGAGATTTCACTCTTCAATCCATGGGGGTAGAGTGGCTCCCATCCCAGCATTCAAAGGTTTCATTTCAATTGTACATGACTATCTGCCCTCTGTAGAAATACAAAGGTAAGAACCATGCAGGCAGGTGGACCATCAAAGAGCCGAAGAATTGTGTGACTGCGGATCTGTTGTTAAGTACTGAACAGGACATCAACAGAGCATGCAGGTTACTCATCCTTACAGGAGTTTAATGTCTTTGAACTGAAGCAGAATGTTGGGTGATTCTAGCACATACAGATGTAGAACAGGGAGAATCTTGTGATAGAAAACTAGCATGGTGGGTGTCCTTTGGGGGCCAGGTGCAAGGTTCAAAAGCTAAAGCCATGGACTGCATGACAATTTATCAAGACAATGGTGAGTTCCTCAAACTCTGAAGAGACCAGTGACCATTCATTTTATAGTTCCTTTGAATTTCAGGCATTTGATTAAGCCAACTAACACGTATTTAGAGAATAATCAAGTCTTCTGAAAGGCATTTCTTTCCAATTTTCTACTTTTTGAGAGTCTAAATCTAGGCACTTAAATATATATGTGCATATGTATATTTTGTTTATGTCACATGACAGTCCTATACAGTATGTTTTTAATTTTGTTGGGAGACAAAGTCTCATGCATCCCAGGCTGATTTCATAAATTCTGCAACTTATGAAATAAGCATATGTTGAACTATGTATCGATTACCTGTTGCTGTGCCAAATACCCAACAAAAACAACTGAGGGAAGGAAGGATTTATTTCCTCTCATAACTCAAGGGCACAGTCCATCATGGTGGGTTAGACATATCAAAGGGAGCTTATGGCCACTGGTCCCTTTGCATCTGCAGTCAGAAAGCAGAGAGAGATGAATGCAGTGATCACCAAACTTTCTCCTCCCTATTCTCTCCTGGTGTCAAGCCTATGAAAAGTTGCTGCCCACATTTAAGATAGGTCTTCCTACCTCAATCCAGTCTAGAAACTCCCTCAGAGACTTGCCCAGAGGTTTGTCTGCTAGGTGATTTAGGGCCTGTAAAATTGCCAGCAAATATTAATTATCACCTACCAGCAACTAAGCAATGGGATTACCACTATTGGTCTAAAGGTTATACTTGTCAGTCCCTGCTTTAAAAATATTTCTACTTATCTCCAAGCTTTGTAATGTTAACTAAAGCAACTAAAACATAGCACTCATGCACTATCTAAACCATGTCACACAAACTCACTATGAGAACACCTTTATATGGTAGCAAAGTCACAGGAGTTGGACACCAGTAAGAAGCAAGGATGGAGCAACCTACACTGGATGTCCTAAGACAAAGATTTGTATTTTGTTGCTTTAGTGATACCCAGAGATTTGGCCTGTCTTGTTGAGAGGGCAGCTGGTGTGGGGGTGGGATCAAGCCAGCTGGAATCACTTCCCTTGTTTTTAGTGTTCTCACTTGCATCCTTAGGAGAGCACTTGTGAGTCCTGCCTATAATAAAAAACTGCTACAGAGTCATGCTTTTCTGGTCCTGGCTAACCAATGGAGTTATAATTTGCCTTGGCATTCTATACAATGTCCTTCTGCTGCTGTATTTCACCACTTTCCTTCAGCACAGCTCTCTGCTCTCCAATTCATCCAGTTGTTCTCTGAAGCCTGCCACTCCTGCTCTGCCACACTGCTCACAAACAACAGACTAGCAGAACCGAATGCAGTGGTTAGAACACGGAGGTGGGGAAGAATGGGAATAGCATCCTTTTGCCAGCAGGAAGAATGCAGAGAATTTTAGCTTTGGATCAGGTAGAGCTAAGTGGTAACTAGTTTTCTGTGTCCTTGTGTAAGTCACACACCTTCTTTGAAACTAACTTCTCTTTTTCAAACAATGTATAGGGGAGTTTGGAGAGAGAGCCCAGTGGTAAGAATACTTCCTACTCTTGCAGAGGACTGAAGTTTGGATCCTAGGATTCATGTCAGGCAGGTTAGGGCTGCCTATAACTCTATCTCCAGGAGATCCAATGCCCTTTTCTAGCCTTCACAGGTACACACACACACACACACACACACACACACACACACACACACACACTAAAGTAAAACTTTAAAAATACCAAAACGATATAAATAGTGTTACCTATGTAAGAAACTTGACAAGGTTGGAGAGATGGGTCTTTGGTAAAATGCTTGCTGATCAAGAATGAGGTGCTGAGTGTGACCTCCAGGATCCCAAAAGACTGGGTATGGTAGCACAAACTTGTGTCACCAGGACTGGGGAGGCAGAAAGAGGTAGATTCCTGGAACTCTCTGCCCAGCCATCCCATACTATCCTTCTGAGGATGAGGTGATGGAATGAAAATAAAGATGAAGCTAAAAAATGTAAACATTGGGACTGGAGAGATGACTCAGTGTTTATGAGATCCGAAGATAGACATGCAGTTCCCAGTACCCACATGGAGAGGCTCACAAGTGCCTATAACTCTGGGTTCAGAAGACTGGGGGTGCTACTATAGCCTCCATGGGCACCTGAACCCAACTACACACACACACACACACACACACACACACACACACACACACACACACACACACACACATATATTCACAGTTACACATACACATACACAGACACATACACACACAGACACACACACACACACACACACACACACACACCACACACACACACACACACACACACACTGCCTGTAACTCAGTTTCCAGAAGATTGAGGGTGCTGTTGTGGCCTCCATGGGCACCTGCACTTAACTGCACATATATGTTCACGGATACACAAACACACACGCTCACACACAAATGCTAAAAAATAAATCTTTAAGGGGCTGCTAGAGAGATGACTGGACAGGTAAAAGCACATTTGCTATTACAGACTACCTGGGTTCAGTTTCCAGGACCCACATAGCAGTTCCCAACACTTGATCCACGATCTCAGTTCCAAGGAACTCAGTGGCCTCCTCTAACCTCTACAGGCATGAACATGGTACACAAACACACATGTGAGCAAAATATTTATGCATATAAAAATTTAAAAATCCTAAAACTAATAAATCTTTTAAAAGTACAAACACTCATTCCCCATGTTTGTTTCAATAAGGCTTAGGTAGTACTTACATCATCTTGAAACTAAATAGAAAAAAAAGTTCCATTTAATTAGAAAAAAGTTTCTTTGTGTTTCTGGCCCCAAAGCCAACTTCTTCCTTATTATTTCATTTGTATTCTTCTCAGCTGTTCATGAGGATTTTTATCTTGTCTTAATAAATTGAAAATCTGTTACAATGGGATAATTGAACATCAAATGCAACTGGGATAAAACTGGAAACAGGTGTCCTGAGATAAAGACTATGATAGTGCATTGAGAATTGTGTTTTCTACCGTTTCCATAACAACAGTCTAGATTTTTAGAGAGGTTTCATTAGATCATCTTTCTCTCTTCAACAATACAATTTCAAGCTACAAATCCTCAAATAACAGATTTTTTTCTGCATTTATTTTATCAGATAATTTTTTATTTGCCTTAATGTAGGATATCTGAGTGTTAGTGAAAAAATAACCAAAGAAGGAATGGATGGAATTCATTCCTATCGTCTGCTTTTGGAACGAGTTAAGAAATAGACTTGTGTGCCGGTGAGATGGCTCAGTGAGTGACGATGCTTGCTGCCAGGCTGACAACCTGAGTTCAAACCCTGGATCCAGAGGTGGCAGGAGAAAACCAGCTCCCATAATGTTTTGTCTGGTCTACACATGCACAACCATTTCATGCTCACACTCACACTATCCCCATAAATCAGTAAACACGTGTAATAAAAACTGAACCTGTGAGTATGGGCATAACTCAGTGGTAGATGATATTAAGAACCTGGTCAACATGTTCAAGACTCTGAATTTATCCTGCAGCCCCCAAAGAAACACATATGTGAAATTCCTTGTAATTCAGGTGCCATTCAGTAATTCACATAGGATTAATGATATAATTTAATAGTGTTCTTTCTAGATATTAAAATAGTTATTCTAACTGTAAAACACAGAAGAAAAAATCCTTTTGATGTGGCAAATTTTTGTACTTAATGAGTTTATAGTGTTTTGTATAGTTATATTTAGTTATGCATTTACACATTTCTGTTTTACTTCTATATATCATAAATTAGGAATTTTAAGTAGTTGGATAATTTATTTGTTAGCTGTCACTTTTAATTTTATCTAACACTGTGGTTTTCACTCATAAATATTTAAAAATGCAATGAGAACTTCCTAAATGCTACTTCAACAGCTCTCTAATAACCTTTTGTTGATTTTACATGTATGTTTAATCTCTCTCCAAACTACTGGACATTATCTCCAATTTTTAAATCATTAGTATTTTTTCAGCCACATATTAATTTATTGTCATAGAATACCTTTCAGGAATGTAGATGACTAGCTTAAAGATCTCTGTCTAACGTCCCGACTTCAGCTTCACAGCACAGCTTGCTGTGTCTCAGCCTCGGTGACCAAGTTTGCTTAAGAAATTCATCTGAGACAGTGCATGGGTGGGTTCAGATAGCACCAACCGCCTTCCTTCCAACAGAATGCAAGAACCGGGTTTCTAAGTTCAAAGTGAATGAATGGTGAAACACGCTGCAGATCTCCTCTATAATCTCAAAGCAGGGATGGACTGTTAAAGAGAAGGGAAATGATTGTGCTTCTTTTTTTCCCTTTTCTATTTTTCATATGTGAGCATGGTAGAAATGTGTAAATCTGGGGTTTTACTCTTGCATGTGTGTGGGAACACATATATGTGGGTGCAGGTGCACCTGTGTGTTCCTGCATGTGGAGGCCCACAGGTGATGTTGAGCATCATGCTGGACTGTTCTTCTCCCTTACACATTCAGGGAGGGTCTCTCAGCCAAATGCACGATTCAGTACGATGGGTAGTCTCGTGAGCCAGTTTGCATGGGAATCCTCAGTCTCCACCGGCAGGACTGGAGTTACACTGGGCCAGCACACCCGCCAGGGCCAGGCATTCACTAGGGTTTCTATCTAGAGATCTGAATTCTGATCCCCGAGCCTGCAAAACAAGTGATTAGAGTGCTGAGCCTTCTCCCCAGTCCTCAAATGATAAATTTCCAACAGAAAAATATTTTCAGTGTTAAAACAGAAAAAGTAACATACCAAAAAGTCAGAGAACAGAAAGGTACCCTCAAAATGTATATTACAGAAAATGGACTAAATGCAAATTGTTGGAAAAACAAATGGGTAAAAGTCAGAGAATATGGCTCACAAACAGGAAGTAAAAACAAAGAGGTTTTTCTTCTCTATCCATGCCAAGAGAAATACACATGAATTGACTGAGGGAGGTAGTGCAATGTGTAAAGCGTTTGCCACCTTAGTGTGAGAATCTGAGTTTGCGTCCCCAGTGTCTGCGTAAAGACAGATTCTGTATAACTCCAGCTCTCACTGCAGGGTGGGAGACAAGGATAAGAGACTCTCCAGAATCCCATGGGCTGGTTAGTCAGGGACAGTCAGGGGCAAACAAGAGACCCTGGCTGCACCAAGATGAAGGTGAAGGCTGACATTGAAGGCTGACTTTGACCTCCAAAGGTACATTGTGGCATGAACACACACACACAGATACACACACACAAACACACACACGCGCGTGTGTAGACAAAGAAATATGTGTTAAAATTACTCAGAAATATAATAATATCAGATATTCATAAATTATAGCAGGAGTTTAAGTTGGCATTACTTTTAAAGGAGCTGAATTGGCAGCAGATGTCAAATCATACATTGCTGCTAATCTAAACTTCTTTCAGTGTTAATCTGAATGCAGCAGCCCCATGCACAGGGTCCTGGAGGGTTCAGCCAGCTCTTTCAGCTAGTTCTCCTCTGCTGCAGGACCTTCCCATTGTCTCTGCCACCCTTCAGTCTGGGCACCAGTTCCTTCAAGCTGGGTGGACACTCCCTCTTCCTGTGTACTTCCCCTGTGGTCAGTGTTCACGTACTCATCCATCCTAACTACTATTACTAGAACACACCAACAATGGATGTCTCAGAAGAGAGAGCTCCACCTCCCTCCACATCTTCTTTCTATATGACCATGACTAGTATTGCTCGATCCCAATGTCTTTCAGAGGAAGGGCAGGAGGAAGAGAAGGAGGTATTTATTAAAGCATTAGCATAATCTGACAGTGGTGAGAATTCAAGGCTTATGGAATAAATAAATAGTAAATCAACAAAACAGAATCAGACATTAATTCACCAGCCCTGCTTTTCAAGTATGCTAAGTGGGGCATCCCCACTCCAACTTTAGCAGGAAGCCAGGCATCATTACTTAGTGAGACAAACAACACCATTAGACCATAGCAGAGGTAGGAGTGAGCAGCCCACAGGGAGATTAGCTGCCCCTGACTCCTGAATGTCACCTGCACACAGGTGAGTACAGGTGGGGTCAAGGATGGCACTGTGCAAGAAAGGGAAGAGATATATTTAGCTATCGTATTCTGAGACGGTGGGGAGAGAAACTATTCTTTCAAAGTAAAATTTTGTTTCAGGGGCCCAAATGATGTCTCAGTGTATAAAGGTGCTTGTGCCAAGTCTGATGGCCAGAGTTATAGTAGAGGACACACATGATGGAAGGGAGAACCAACTCTATACATAGGAAAATGTGCGTGAGCACGTGGGCATGGACGCACACATACACACACACACACATACGTGAAGTTTATGAAGAATTAAAAAATTATGTGTCAGTAATGATAGCTTCCCCTTAAAGTTGAGACAAATTCTGTATGGTGGTGGCAGCCAGAACTCTTTTGGTGGAAGGAGTCAGTTCAAACAGTAGGCACTCAACAGATGCTGCTGGAATGGTTATGGCTTTCTCTGCTCCTGTGTGCACAGACATACTCTATATGATCACTGGCTTCCTCCCAGCTGTTTCAAAATCTGCTTTCTTCATTCATAATACTAAAAGAAATGTGCCTATAAATTTAGTTATGTTTTTTCTAAACATGAAAACTTCTCTTTTAAATTTTATTCCTGTGGCCAATACGATAAGTACTTAAGCATTCCTGTCACCAAGCAATTGCTGGTGTCCCAGAAACATTGCGGTTTTTTTTGTTTGTTTGTTTGTTTTTAGTTTTTTTTTTTTTTCGGTGGGGGGGGCTGGAGATATGTATCATTTGACATAGAACTGGGTTCTGGAATCTAAGGACAAAGGGTGATCCCTGCAGAAGGCCCGGTGGTCTGCACTGCAGAGGAACGGTTCACACTGGGTTTGTTTGAAGAAGCCTCAGGTACCTGGTTCTCAGTGTTGTTGATGGGCAGGATTCAAAGCTACCTGGGCTAAGAATCCGTCCTGCCTTCCTCCCTCTGCAGATGACAGCAAAGCCCGACTCAGCAGCATCGCGCCCTCTGCCGTGCTGGGTAGCCTGCTGGATGACCAGCACTGGCACTCGGTTCTCTTGGAGCGCGTGGGCAAGCAGGCGAACTTCACTGTGGACACAAACACGCAACACTTCCGGACCAAGGGTGAGACCGATGTCCTGGATATCGACTACGAGGTGAGTCAGTTCTCCCTGCAGGTTCCCAGGAATGGGTTGTCTGTAAATAGAGCCTTTAAGGCCCACCATCTGGGCAAGACTACAAGGGCAGAGTCACCAAGGAAGGGCCACACAGTAAGGGTCTGGAAATGCCTTTGCCAAGCTCTGTGTTGCTGATGGGGTATCAACTGTGTGAAGTAAAATCAATACTTTCTTACTTTCTGTATGTACATATGCATCGATGTGGGTAGACATGTGTGCCTCTGTGTGTGTGTGTGTGTGTGTGTGTGTGTGTGTGTGTGTGTGTGTATCCTAGTATAATTTCTGTTGCTGTGTAAAATAAAAAAAAATCTGGCAGCAAGAGGTTTATGTAGCTTATGATACCTGATTATCATCCAAAATTTCGGAGAAGTCAAGGCAAGAACTCAAGTCGTCACATTGTAGCTACAGCCAAGAGCAAAGAAAATAAACGCAGTTTTCTAGCCTTCTGGTTCTCAAGTAGCTTTCTTCTCCACTACACAGTTCAGGGCCCACACATGTGATGGTGTAGATTATATTCAGAGTGGGTAACCCTACCTCAATTAACACCCAAGACAATCTCCTACAGACATGCTATAGGCCAGTCTACAAAAGACTCAGTTGACTCTTCCCAGGTGATTCTTAGTTTTATCAAGTGAATCTTTAATGCTAACCATCAAAATATGTCTTTAAGTGTGTATATACTTGTGTGTGTGTGTGTGTGTGTGTGTGTGTGTGTGCCTGTGGGCATATAGGTACTTGGAGCCTTCCAGTGTTGCTGTCTCTTGGCTATAACCACTAATTATTTAACAAAAACTTTAATTAGTTGGAGTATTAAAATATACAGAAAATGTTAACAAAATCTCAGGTGTGAACTCCAAAGATGGGTCAGCCAGTAAAGGGATTTGCTGCCAAGCCTGATGACTTGAGTTCAATTTCCCAGAACCACTAGTGGAAGTCTAATTTAAAAAAAATTACCAGGAGTCCTAAAACCAATGTTCTCAGACCGTCCCTAGCCTTTCACATCCATGCCCACTTGAACTTTTAACTAATAGGCTGGAACTGTTTTTCCCATCTTTGTCGTACCAGGGACCAAATCCAGAGCCCTAATGGAAGAGATCAGTGGGATGCATCAAACTAAAGAAGGCCACAGATCTTCTAGTCTGGCAGTCTAAGTACCACAGAGCGCAGTGACTAGGGGACAGAGGAGAGAAGGATGGGGTCCTCAGGGTGGGGGTGGGAGGATGGGGGGGGGCCTTTTTGCTCACAGAGAAAAGCACAGGTCTGTCAGCAGGAGACCCTGTTGAGTCTTTACTGAAGGATCCAGTTAGCTGGATCCGAAGGTAAGGTGTGTGTAGCAGGTACCAAAGCGGGAACATCAAACAACTCAGTGGCAGAGTTTAGAACAATAGCAGTGCTGTGTAGAAGTCAGTTAAGTTCAAAAGGGCCAAAGGTCAGATTTGTCAGGAATTTTGAAGGCTGCCTGGTAGACATTGTCCATAATTAAAACATAGATGGCATAAACTTGATTAAATGAGTTGGGGAATAAATTAAATGAAATGTCTTTGATGAAATAAATTTGTTAATTTCTAATTAATTTGCTTTGTAATTACCCCTCATTCATCTACTTGTACACCAGAACATTTGTAACTGCTCTCTCTGGGAAAGGTCTTATACCAAAGATGTTGACAAACATTTCAAGTTAAGTTTGATTCATTGTTTTATAGATGGCCTGGACTGGGAGTCAACAAACCTTATGTCTTATTGAAAGGCCATTTTTCTATGGCTTAATCGTTGAAGATTAAATTTGGAGTGTGTGTGTGTGTGTGTGTGTGTGTGTGTGTGTGTGTGTGTGTGTGTGAGTGTGTGTGTTACTTGGGATTGAAAATAGAGGTAGTCACATGTTAGGAAGCCACATTACCAGTAAGCTTTATCTACAGTCCTTTTTTTTTAGTTTTTAAATTAAATTCAATTTAAAACATTATATTCTTTTAAGAGAGGGTCTCATGTAGCCCAGACTGGCCTTGAACTATCTCAAACTACTAATCCCTCTGCCTTTACTTCCTGAGAAATGGGATCATAGATCTGCACCCTCACAATCTGCTCCATGTGGTGCTAATGCTGGAACTTTACCAACAAAGCTGAATTCACAGCCCCATTTTTTTAAAGTTCAAGAAGAGATTTCATTAAATTACCTGCTTCAGCCTACTGAAAATGTGACATACAGGCTTGTCCCACCAGACAGACAAGAGTGATTTTTTTTTTTTTGGCATTCTTGAAGGCTCATAAAAGAAGGAAAGGAAGGGAAAGAAGGAAAGAAGGAAGGAAATAGGACAGAGATTTTGATTATAGATAAAGATTAAGAAAAATGTATCTTAAAGGATCAGAAGCCTCCTGTAAGAATCAGCTCACTATGTTAGAATATAGCAAAGGAAAATACATTGTTTATCATTTATACATCAAAGGTAAGAAACATTGTATGCAATGTATTCTCTAGAGTAAGATCATGAATTTGACACACACATGCAGTTGCACTTGTAAGTACTGTGTGTGTGTGTGTGTGTGTGTGTGTGTGTGTGTGTGTGTGTCCCTCACTAAGGACAGCAAGGTTTTAAACAAAGTCAGAGACTGAAAAAAAGGCTCGGTGATTAAAAGCACATAATGCTCTTGCAGAGGACTTGAGTTTAGTTCCCAACACACATAGGAGGTGAAACACAACTTCCCGTGTCTCCTGATCCAGGGGATCTGACATCTCCCTCTTGGGATATTTGCACTCATACGTATATATCCCACCCCCACAAATACATATAACTTTTTCTAAATAAAAAGAGCAAGTTAAAGACTAGCTGATGGAGAATATATAGGCCTTTATAAAGAATTTAAATTTTGGTGAAAAAAATAATATTGAACAACTATTTGCAGGGTAGCTAACAACTTTCACTATTTGTTTAAAGGCCAGACCAATCAGCAACTCCTAAAAATATATTAAATAGAACCCATTTAGGCTTTATCCAGGCATACTGAGTCAGAAATTCTGGGAGAGGGATCAGCTGTTTATACTCTTAAATCCTACAGGCAATGCTGATACCCTCTGCTGTCTGAAGGCCACTATCCTGGATATTTCTCTCTCTCTCTCTCTCTCTCTCTCTCTCTCTCTCTCTCTCTCTCTCTCTCT